AAAACACCAAATACAAGTATAAAAAAGGTTGAAAGGGGGAAAAAAATCTTGAGAAGAATAGGAGGATGATCACGAGGAGGATGAGGAGCAGCGGGAGAGAACCGACAGGGAGACCCTCGCAAACCTGGCAGTGAACGATGGAAGGAGGGGGTAACTTGATAAAAAATTGATGTCACAAAGCTGGCTCAAGACTTGACTGATCCTTGGCTCAATGTATGTGCACGTTGTTGTGTGCATTTGTAACAAATCACACACATAGGCTACTATATTACAGATTACTGTAGCACCTACCACAGTTTACATTCATCTAAAGGTTTGTAAAATGGAAACAAGCTATTTCCTCATTCCCCGTGTTTCTCAAAAGGCACAGTCGTGTAACTCTGAGTAAAAGCATCCACCCTCTGTAGTACGGGCTTAGCATGTGTCTGAGGACAGTGCCCAGTTCCCATTCTCGTGAAGGCTTCAGTTAAACAACCAAACAGCCTCACATACAAACACAATCTCTCTCAAACACGCTCAAAGATTTCCCATGTTTTCTATTCCCCTCTTCATTTCAATCAGAATTTGTTTCGGAGTGGTCAAACTCTGCCCCCTGGTGACTGTAACACTAAACTGCACTGATTACTGATAAAGTGCGTGCTTGCAGTGTGTGTTTGAACAAGATGCCAACAAACCATTCTCCAAACTGCTTTCACCGTGTGTGTGTGTTGTGTGTGTGTGTGTGTGTACCTCATAGGTAGTCAATGCGCAACATAGAGTAACTAAACTTTACAGTTGTGATCAATACAGGGCTGAGTTTATATGGGACTGTTATTGTAGCACAACTATCTGTGTCCAAACGCTGGGGCCAATCTGAAAGCGCTGCAAAGCCGGGGAAGTAGGTCCAGAGGAAGCTGCAGCGCCCTCTGGTGGATGTTAAAGGATGTGAATTTTATTTTACCTTTTTTGTAGTTACTCTACGTAATATTTCAATTTCAGTAAGGAGTTAAAAAGTGGATCTTTCGTGTACTTGTGTTCAGATATGTGGTAGATTTCTAATCGAAGCACCACAGGAAAGTGGCCATGCAAAAGGCAAACTTTGGATATCTTCGGTAATCTATTAATAATGGGATAATAGACACAACGACAGTACTTCTCTCATGGTTCAAAAAACAAAACAAAAGAAAGAAAAAGAAAAAAGGAACACTTGGAGAATTTTTAGTTTCCATAATTGGTATAATTTAAATCCAGTCTGATAAGGGCTGATGATTTTGGTTTCCACTGACTGTTGTTATGTCATTTTCTTCTCATTGAACATTCACCGTGTCTTTAGGTACATCTTGCCTTTTTCCTTCAGAACTGCTTTAAGTCTTCACGGCATAGATTCAACAAGGTGCTGGAAAACATCCCTAAGAGACTTTGATCCATATTGACATGACAGTCATGACCTGGCCAGTGAGTCTTTAGGTCAGTAAGCATTTCCAACTTGAATATTTTCTTCATCAGCCCAATGTAATTATTAAGCGTTCTGGACTGTTTATAGTTACAGACGGACACACACTGCATCCACGCCACAGGTGTTACTAAACGTTTAAAACGGCTTTGTTCTCTGTAGGTACAGAATTGAAATCATTACACAGCTTGATTTACAGACTGTGTCATACAAAAACAGCTGCTGCTTAAAAAGGTCTGTGGGTGCTCACTATTGTAGCAATCCAATCACAAGATTGATTCTTTTGTTTATTTTAATTGATTTGCAACAAAACAGACATATAAAGATTCATATAATTCTGACCATGTACTTCTATAGAGCCAGTTATTTAACTACCAGTTGTACAACAATGTTATTTTTTTGTCACATTTCAGATAATATAAACTAAATTTTACAATAGCATGAAGTTTTCTGACTTTAACCTGTTGTAACTCTAATTGGCCATATTTTCATAATAATTATCAACAACAACAACAACAACAACAACTTTATTTATAAAGCACTTTAAAACAACCACAGCTGACACAAAGGGCTGTACATTGGAACTGTAAAATAAAATTACATAAGATATAAGTAAAAACCAAATAAAAGAAGAGTGAAATCATTAAATAACTACTTAAATTAAAAGAGAAACTAAGTCTCGCTGAGGTTAAAAGCCAAGGAATAAAAGTGGGTTTTAAGACGTGATTTAAAAGTTATCCCATGTGGACACGCTGTCTATTCAAAATGACTGTGTGGAGATAGAAACCCCATAGCTTGCCATAGTCACGGAGCAGAGCACGTGAACGCGAGATCTCCAGCGGAGCTTTCCTCGCCGCACCACCAACTTGTCACCAAAGATGGCGAGTTGCTGAATGCTCATGGATACACACATTTCTCGGCTAGTTGTTATCTTACCCGAAACGCCAACTTTAAAAACAAATTAACTGTTTAGCGAGCAACTGTTTCTCCGTTTGAAGCACCTCTGACCCAGCGTCAGTCGCCGCTACCATGCAGATCACACTTAAAACGCTGCAGCAGCAGACTATTCAGATTGAGATAGACCCCGAACAAACGGTGAGTGGCTATAGCTAACGTGCTTTAAGCTAACAGTGCTAGCTGCGGGACCTGTGTTTTGGCTTTGCGTGAAGACCCGACACCTTCCCATTCATTTATATTACACATTAAAGAACGACTAACAACTAGACTCGACTGGAGGTTTCGCAATAGTCGCACACGTTACAAAGAGGCAACCCACAAGAAACCGCAAAACAACGCGACGCCTCACTTCTGTGATGAGTTAGCGTTAGCAAGCTAGCTAGCAAAGTAGCCCATTATCAAAGTCATAGCGACACAGTTTTAAACGACTTTTTTCATCATTTAAATATTATTTCGCGGGTGTGGCTACTACTCTTTGTTAAAGAGTGATATGGGTTAAGATTTAAATCTAATATTTTTTGATGAACGCAAGCTGTGGACTACGCTCGGGATTGCTAATGCTAACGCCTATGACACTGCCAATTGCGATTAGCTTCACTCAGAAACTGACTCTTTCTATTAGCATGTCCTCACATCCGAAGGTGTAGCTTGCAGGGCCCATTGTTAAGTGATACATTATAATGAAATAGTACGAGCATACTCTCAGTGGATATAATTCGTGTGACATTCCAAAATTTAGTTTTTAGTAAACACGTAATAGACTAGGTGTGAAATAGACCACTGCATTTTATAGCTTTAGGAGACCTAACTTTAAAGCTGAAGTCAGCTAGGATGACTCCCTGCTTTGTAATGACTTGAAGGAAAGCCGGTCATCTAATATTAAACCTCTGGTATTACAAGCACCGGAAGACATGTCATAGATAATAATGAGTCCTGGGGTGGTTTTTGTTTCTTGTTTTGTTATTATTATTATTAGGTGAAGGCCTTGAAAGAGAAGATAGAAGCAGAAAGGGGAAAAGACAACTTTCCTGTGTCCGGGCAGAAGCTGATATATGCTGGGAAAATTTTGCAAGATGACACACCAATTAAGGACTACAAAATTGATGAGAAGAACTTTGTTGTAGTGATGGTGTCCAAGGTGAGATCCTAATTAATACTTGTGGGTGACATCAGTGTTTTTGGCTTCTTTTCCTGTTAAACAGATTTAACAATATGTTGATAGTCTAATAGCACTTTTTTTTTTTAAATAAACAAAAGGCTAAGCCTGCAGTTGCAGCCTCACCATCAGTCTCAGAAGCACCCAAACCCCCAGTACAGGACTCTGGCTCCACATCAACAGCTGCCCCGACTACAAACCCAACTCCAGCCCCAGCCCCTGCCCCTGCAGCTGTCCCCATTCCTAGCGGGGAGGCCAAAGAGGAGTCAAGTGCCGTAGCCACAGAACCACAACAACCAGCTAGGTACACTCTCTCTATTACTAAAGCTGTTTTTCTGCACTGCCAGCTGAACTCGTGTAGACACTACTAAGTGGAGATAATTGTATGATCTGGACAGCTCGGACATTAAACAGCCTCTAACCAGCCAGTGTCATATTATAGAGTCTGTCTGGTTTCTGAATGCACCTAATTTGTGCCAGTGTGAGAAGAGTGTAGGCAAAGTCACAGCTAGCAATTGTACATCCTGTGTCCTGCCTCCTGCTCTTTTCAGGCCTGCATCAGAGCCAGCCCTGCACATTCTTAACTATTTTATAGGAAAATGTGTCAAAGTGTAATAATTCCAGTAGCTTTGCCTGTGATAATTGGCCATGCTGATCATTAAAGTTTACTCTGATAAAGGAGAAAACTGGATGATGTCACTACATCATATCTTCCAGAATGTAAGTGTGTAAGTGAGAAATGTTTAGAGCTGTAAGAACTGTGCATTAATTAAGTGATTGGTGGGAAATTACAATCATAAATTAGTCATTTCTTTTTCCTTTTTTAAATTCTTCAAGCTGATAAGTCATTGATTAATGCTTCTGTTTATCATGTTAAGTGGATATCTGCCTGGTTGTAGACATACAGCCGACCGTCTGTGGTTGTTAGAAACCAGTCGGCTCGATTAATGAATAATGAAAACAACTGTAGGTATTACATTTTAGTAATAAAACATATTATAGGACTCGTTCGAGTCACAACTGATAACTTTTAAGATATGAATAGGGAGGGTTTTAACCCGAGCACACAACTCATAACTGGAGTGCTTCCCATGCACACAGACTCTTGGTTGGGCTGCCTCATCTGGTGACTTAAAAAAAATCTATTTATCAATTTAATCAAAGATAGAAATTCTCTTAGAGTGAGATTTATAGTGGAAATCAATCCTGTCTTTTTTTGGTCAAAGACCAGCTGCAGATAACTAGCGAGCCATCCCTTTTTCTGTCTCGTGTCATCCTGTGCTTTTCTTTATGTCATTCAGCTGCTCTTAGGCTTCATGTTTGTCAATAAGTCAGCTAAATTACAAACCAAAGTGTTATGCTTTGTATTTAGCAGGCATACCTTGGAAAAAGAGATGTGCATGATTAGTCTGTAATAAAACCATTTTAAACATTTCCAGTGTGTCTGAGCAGGAGTCGACCTGCTTGTATGTTCTGGACTCACGTATAGTTAAATCTGCATACTGACAATGGCTTTGAATAAACTGTTCAACAGAGTTGCAGCTGCCCAACTATCTATATACCACTAATTATTACCGTTACTTACTATGCACCATTATGTGGTATAATAAATAATTTAGCATCATAACTCATTTAGTGATTTGAAAAGCTTTTTAACTCGGACTTCCACTTGGGAGTGTGTTGCCAGCAACAACGATGGCAAGCAAAAAAGCTACAGTTAGCCTAGCTACAACTGGTATTGGAATCTGGTAGCATCAAATTTAAACTGTTATCTGATAATTACATTAAAAGAAAGATCGCCTCCCTGTGCTTTGGGTTAATTAGCTGGCATAGACACGATAGTTCAAGTCTAGTGTTTATGCCTGAAATCAGGCTAACAAGTTTTAGCTAATGTTACCCAAAAGAAATCCTAAGCTTGACCCTAGTTTTTCCCTGACTGAGCCATACAGTGGGTTGTATGGGCATTAAAACCAGCTGTTCATTATGTTAGCTAATGTTAGCTTACCTGCTTAGTCAGTCAGTTTAACGCAGCAGCCTCCTGACTAATCTGAGCTTGCTTTATCTCCAGTGTTGTTGGTGATAAAACTGTCTGAAGTTTGTGTTTTTTGAGTTTTGTGAAATTTGTGGTTGTTTGAGAAATGTCCGCTTGTTGACGTTACGTGATCAGCGGACTCTCTTGGCTAATTGCTAATGCTGTGAGGAAGGTTAAGAAAGGCACTGAGGCCAAGCGTGTAGGAGTGAATATAATATTTTAGACTTTCTGTGGGACATCAAGTCCACAGGCTTTTAGAAGCAACTAAGAAGGTTTTGTTGTTGTTTTTTGTAAATGTGTTTTAATCCAGTTTGCCTGTATGATTTTGTTTGTTTGTTTTGTTTGTTTGTTCATTGGATGGAGCAGATGTTGATCACCAAGCTCACCTCCATCACCGTTTCCTGGTGCCTCTCTCAGCACAGCCTCCGTTCACATGAAATCACAGGAAACCCGTCTAATGTATATTTTTTCCCTCGCTCCAACTTTCTTTTTTGTAGCTCCAGTGGTGGAAGTCAGGGCCTGGATGCATCCTCGACGCTGGGTAGGTAAAGCGAGCTATCAGACTTACATCACAGGATCGGACAAAAGCAGCTGGCGCCTGTTTTAATGAAATAGATTTATTTAAAAAGTAGCTGTTAAAAGTGAACTGTACAGAGACGGACAATAGACTGTGTTGTGTAACGCGTACATGAACTACCAGAAGCTGTTACTGTTGTAAAAGTGTGTCTTAACTGGCTGCAGTGTGCTACATGCCATTTCTATATTTAGGCTCTGACAAACGCAAGCCGCCTCTTGTTGTGCCTATGAGTGATGGGGGATTCCCATTATAAGAGAGGGGAGTGTATGCGTAAAGCGATTCTATTTAAATCCATGTTGTAATAAAAAGTTTCAGTGTTTTCATGGTAAAAGAGTCTGAACGTTGTCTCTCGATCGTACAAAGTGGATTTAATTTGTCAGTACGATAAACTATGTTTGATGAAATTTCAGAGGATATTTTTTTAAAATGTGTTGATTTGCAAACAAGCATACCATGTTTGTTTCAAACATTTACATCTGCCCTTTCAGTGACCGGAGCGGAGTACGAGGCGATGCTGACGGAGATCATGTCTATGGGCTATGAAAGGGAGAGAGTTGTGGCTGCGCTACGGGCCAGTTTCAACAACCCCCACAGAGCCGTGGAGTACCTTCTTACTGTACGTCACACACATCAAGGGGAGGGTTATAACACGAGCTAGTCAAGGTGGTGGGCGTCACTCTCCATAATGCATACTGCATGAAAACACAGTAGCTGCATTGCTGGTGATGCTGAGACACTAGGGAGATGTTTGCATGAGTGATTCAGCCACAGCAGCCATAAGTGCGGCTAAAATGGCTTTCATCTGTTTCTGTGTGTATAGAAGACTCACTGTCAGGTGTTTGCAGCACAGACAGACATGTTGGTCTTTTAAAGGTTGAGATAAAAGAGCATTTCTGCAAATATTAGTTACAGTAAGCTCTAATTTAACAGACCAACAGACAGAAATACTCAGGAAAAGTATTGAGGTTTGGCAAACACGTGACCAATAACCAGTTTGGACTCATGGTGACAGTGGGAACAGTCACACAGGACTAGAGACCATCTGGCAACTAGAGGTGGGAATCACCATACATCCCACGATACGATATTATCACAATACTTAACGCACGATACGATATTATTGCAATTTTTAAAAATATTTTGCGATATTCAGATTCTGTACATAAAGGTAAACTTTATCAATATTCATTTTCTCTAATATCAAAGTCTCACACTCAGTCTTTCTCTCATTTCAGTTTGATTGTTGACAAACTGAACGGTTTGTATTACAGTCTAGTCCAACTTAACTGAATCAACCATCTGGTACAATTATAGCTATTCTGAACTATGCAGTTTATGAAAACTATGCAGCCCCTTCAGCAACTGAAGAATTTGAAAGTAAATGAAAACAAAATATAATTTTACATTAAATAAAAAAGTTTTAAACTTAATTAAAATAAAACATGTCTTAAATTAAAATAAGTAAACTGTCATGTTTATTGCTGCCAAAAACAAGTTAAACACATTTGGACAGTGAAGGAATGTCAGGATTCTTGCTCAGAAAAAGGATCAACATGCTCTGAAGTCAGAGCACAAAAACCTTTTTGTAACAAAATATCGATTTCTGCTGTCCCTGTATCCATACATTATTAGCAAACAAAATATCACCATGCTACACAGTATCCATTTTTCCCCCACCCCTACTGGCAACCACTGGTACTGAGGGGAAATGTTGCTGAAGCCGTCAAACAGGCCTACACACTGGTCAGTCACCACCTGTCCCTCGGGAAAGACATGTATTCATCGACTGGTCAGTAGCACATAGCTGCTGTCCTGGTGTGAAGGAAAGTGACAGACGTGTACACAAGTGCTGTTCAGCTGCTCTTGGAGCTGTTTTGAATCTGTGCAACATAAACCTGAAGCGGAGACGGTTTGCCTTCAAAGTGAAAGTTGCTCCTTTGGGAACATGTTGCTGGAGCGCTGCTCTGACTGTACAGGTCATTGTTCTCCGTTTCTGGTTTGCGTCAGTTTGTCACGTTGTGCTGCTGCTCAGCTTGTAGAGTATTTGGAGACATCCAGCAAGACCCAGCAACCACACATTTCCCTAGCAACTGGTTTGCGTTATGTCCAATATGGCGGATAAATCTCAAGCATGATGCCAAATAAAAACTTCAATATTTTGATTAGGTTTTTATTCTTTTAACAAAAGGTAGCATTTGATTTATGAGTGAAAACATAGGATGTCGATATGCTTTCTAACGGGCAAGAAATAATAGATGAATTATAATTATAACTGTCAAACATGTCTTTGAATATCTACTGTTGGTTGTGGCAGTTAGCTGTTGTGTTGATGTTGTTGTGTATATAAAGAGTGAAATATGCCTGTGTGCCACAGAGCGTGGCTGTTGCAGACTGACCGTAGACTTTGATGCTCTCAGCCTGCTTAAATGTCTGTGGGTGTGATTGACAGTTGTATCGTTGTTTGCAGGGTATCCCCAGCAGCCCAGTCCAGGAGAGTAATCCCCCAGCGCAGGCTCCCACATCTGGAACCACAGAAGCTCCGTCTGTACCAGAAGGTAGAGCATCGGACTCGCTGTGATCCAAACACAAACATGGTGTCAAGTGTGTTTGTGCATCTCTGTCAGCTGTGTGACAAACAGCACAGTAACTGGCACCGTGTAAGCTTCGATTTCAAAAGGTAGAAAAAAACATGTCTCGCGTCAAAAATAAGATTTTTCCCAGAGCACTGGAATGTGTGACTGCTGCAGGGGTGTAGACAGAGCTGCACTTAATAACTGTCACTGCAAGATGACTCATCGTGACTCATCGTGACTCAGTAGTGGCTGAGCGGCTCTCCACCACAGGCTTGTATGAAGTGTTGTTAAACCTGTTAGGTGGCATCAAACCTGCACGTCCATCACATCACTGCAGACCTGCTGCTCAGCTGCAGCCTCTTTCTGATCCAGTTAGTTTACCAGGACTCATCATGGATCTGCATGCATGTATAGAAACACACTCTTTACTATGCAGCCTGTTCCAAGGCTGTAACATCTGGTTTGGGATTATGGGAGAAGTCATTAGTTACAAACATGATGTGAAGTTTCATATTTAGCTGCACGTACTGACTTCATGTTTAATGTTTAATAACACATCAAGGGTTCAGTGTTTAATAGATCATGTACATTTCTGCATGCTGTGGAGGTTTTTGGTAATAATTGTAAGACTAGAAAAGATGACCTTTAAAAATCAGTAACTATATTCTTACATCATCTAACAAATGATGGGGGGGCTGGGTGACTCGTACACAGTCGTCTATCTTCAGATCCTCAAAAACAACCAGACAAATGACTTAGTTTGATGGCCCAGTGAGGCCTGTGACGACATGACAGCTTGATGCAAGATTTGAATTAAAAGCAACTAGTGGTGTGCAGAGCTGGTGGTGCAGACCTGGTGGTGTTAAAATGACATCACGGTCCTTGTGGATCTGAATGCATGCAGCCCAGCTGTTCAGTCTCAAAGAATAAGTGATTCGCTGTTTGAGCTGGTCGTGCTGCAGTCATAGTGTGCAGCATTGTTGATGTAACTAATCCCAAACACACACATGGGTCACAGCTGCAGGCTCGCACAAGTTTCCTGGTGGAAATGTTGAAAGAGGACAAAACTCTCACTGTTGCTCCTTCTCTTTGTGCTCCAGGAGAGAACCCACTTGCATTCCTGCGCACTCAGCCCCAGTTCCTGCACATGAGACAGGCCATCCAGCAGAACCCTGCCCTGCTTCCCGCTCTCCTCCAGCAGCTAGGCCGGGAGAATCCTCAGCTTCTACAGGTAGCACAGCCTGTCCGAATCCTCCTGCTGCTCGTCTCTGTGAGAAGCTTTTTCAATTCTTCTTTTCTTTCCTCTCCCAACTAGCAAATCAGTCAGCATCAGGAGCTGTTTATCCAGATGTTGAACGAACCAGTGGGAGAGGGGGGAGATGCACCAGAGGTTGGAGAGATGGGGGCAGCAGGGGAGGAAGGCGCGCCTGTCAACTACATCCAGGTTACACCTCAGGAGAAGGAAGCCATCGAAAGGGTGAGCGAGGAAGGCTAAACATGGGCAGCTTCTTTAATTAAAGAAAGGTGGTTGGTGTTAAACATCTTCTCCTTCCTCTGCTCTTCCATGTTTCCAACGGAGCAGTTAAAAGCGTTGGGTTTCCCTGAGGCGCTGGTCATTCAGGCCTACTTTGCCTGCGAGAAGAACGAGAACCTGGCGGCCAACTTTCTCCTCAACCAGGGACTGGAAGACGACTGAACGGCAGAGGGTCACTGCCTTCCCGCTCCTCCCTCCTACCCTTCACCCCTCTTCTTCAGCTCAGCATAAAGACTGCACCCCCAGATTTTACTGTACAACCTCAGCTCATCCCAAACAGGAGGGGGGGAAGCCAGTGACGGGAGAAGGGTGGAGGGGGGTGGGAGAAGAGGGGTGGCGGGGCAGGGGGATGGGAAGGGGAGACGGGGGAGGGTTTAGGTTTCGGAGGGATTACAAGTACACAAGGTCGACGGTTGTGTGCAGGAAGGTCGGGCGGTTTTAAAGAAGAGAAAAAAGTGGAAGAATGATGAAATCCACGAGAATTCCAATGGAATGTGTGGGGTTTGTTTAGGGAGATCTATAATTTGATTTTAGACGCGCTTTGTGAACATTAGGGTGGGGGGGGGAGGGGCGGGGCAGTGAGAGTGTGTGTCTGCGTGTGTGTCCACGTATGCCTGTGCAGATGGATGCGATACAGTTAAGCTGAAAAAGTAATCGATCTCGCGTTCTCTAAGTTTGTTAATGCTGTAGCCACGAGGAAGCACGTTACTCCTCACCGCACGTAATCTGTGCGTGAGCGCGTTTGTGTGTCTGTGCGTGTATAAACTGCTCGTGTCCACTGTTGCAAGCTAACAGTGGAGGAACAACATCTGGCATAGATGGACTGGTTCTTGCTCGTGACATTGCTGGGAACCATCGGCCCACACGAGAACTAAACTGATTCCTGTTCCTCGCTTTGCCCAGTCAGGAGTCCCTGCAAACACTGCGCCCGCCCACTCAAACATCTGAGGCTTTTATGTGCGCTGATCGCTTCTGGTGCCAATTAACACGACTCATAAACATCTGTGGTGCGCTCCGTAAGAACACGGCGTTAATTTGTGGTGGCAGGTGTACGTGCCGACGATTAGCAGCGCCGGGTCACCATCGCGTTGCATCGCTTCATACTCATGAGGCTTTAAGCTTCGGAGAGACAAACTTCTAAATTGACAATCATGAAGGAAAAAACCTACAATAATAACGAGGAATGACCTAACGCAGTGAATTTATGTTTTAAAGAAGACTGCGTCATCTAAAGCGTCTTCTTTCCCTAACTCGACAGGTTGCATCAGAGTAGACTTGTTATGCTTTTCCTTTATTCTGTCATATTTATGTAGTGTTAAAATTATGGAATAATAAACATAGCAACGAGTTTCAACTAACGATCCAAGTGTATATACAAGCACCAATGAGGCAAACGATCACTTTCAGGCAGTTTTTCTTCTCTTGGCTCTGTATGATGTCACAGAGAGGGGCGTCCCCACCTGCTGCTCAGATCTTCTGTTTCTTGGGGGAAACTTGAGTCTAGTTTAAGATGAGGATTATTTTGAGCTGCGAGTCTTCCGTCGCCTCTCTAGCAGAGTCCAAGAATAAAAATGCAGCATGATATGAGCATGATAGTTCCCCTTTAAGAACAAGTGGACTCATTGTCTGATTACTACCTTGCTACAGTGTAGTAACATGTCTGGGTTTTTACAAAAGCTTCTTTTTTTAAATTTGAGTTTCCTTCTAAATCAGCTTTCGGACACTAAAAATAAAAGGAAAAGTCTGGAAATCAAATCAGCCTTCAGCTTCCTCGTGGAGCAGATAACCTGTAATCATCCTGGTCTGTTTAAAGTGATGTGGCTAAATAGGAGCGTGAATGAAGTGGAGATTCAGTTATGCGTCTTCAGTTAGAGTGTGAGAGGGCCACGCAGAAAAACGTGCTGCTGTTGCCTTTATAGTCGGATTAGCTAGCCTCCTGTTACCGTGTGTAGTTATCATTAAGAACAAAAACCCACTAAAGTTGAGTCAAACTCACCTGAGATGTTGGCCCTTGCACACCTGCCGCCGATCATGAGGCCGTGCTCTTACTTTGCAGTAGTGTTGATCAACACACAGAAGCACGCACGGGTTGGGTTGGAGGCTACCGGTGCACACAGAGCAGCTGATGAGGAGTAATGTGAGGAACAGATCTGATCCATCGTCACCATCATACCCACCGTACGGGCTAATGACCCACGACAGATTACTGTTCTGAAGCTTTGCAGACCCGGGCCCTGTTCTTCACACGTGTGCGGTGACTAAACCAGCTGCACGCTGCTATCAGGCTAAAACAGAGCAGATTGTCGCACAGTTCATCTGATCTGAAAGCATTCTGAGGACTGATGACCTCGGATGAAGTTCTCAGTGCGTGGAGCTGGAGCCGGAACTCCAATCAGCACCGTAGCTTTAAAATAGTTCTGCAGGTTCATTTAGGATTTTTAGTGTTTAAGAAGATTCATTGTCATTCTGATGTCTATCTTTTAATGGGTTGTGCGCTCTTTTTGGTTTTTTTTTGTCATGCATAGATACAGTTAAGATTAAACAGACATTTGGATCAGAAAACGAGTTCAAAAGTGGGATTTCACAACTCTGGCTTCAAAGAACCAAAACAGTCCAGGCCTCGCATCAAATTATCAGCAAACCGTGAACGACTTGAGGCGTCCACACGTGGAGAACGGGGCCCCGGTTTGTGGTGTGTGAGGTGGGGACGTGTGGCAACCTTGATGTGGGTCTGCAAGGAGACGGTAACTGTTAACTGCAGTCTCATCCTGTGTGCGTGAGGGCGGTTTATACTGACAGCTGTCCTACAGCATCAACATGATCTTAGACTATGCTGTGCTACATTAAATATCAGCAGTCTTTCAGGCCTCTGACTCTGTGTGTCATTTGCATCAGCATGGATCTCACTCGCTGTGCGCATCATACACTCACCTGGTCAGGAGGTGCCCTCTAGTGGTTAAATATGCTCCATACTACAACCAATACTGAATTTATTGATAGTTTTCACATAAAACATCTGCATGTTGGATTGTGAAGGTGAACTGAAATGTTGTCGACAACCACAAGACCTGAGGAATGTCAGCGGGTAGAAAGGATGAACACTCATGTTTTCACACTTAATCATGTCATATATGTCATCTTAATCCACTAAACCAGCGGTCTCCAACCTTTTTTGCGCCACGGACCGCTTTATGCCCGACAATATTTTCATGGACCGGCCTTTAAGGTGTCGCGGATAAATACAACAAAATAAAACTAGTACCGGTACTGAAAAAAAGATTTATTCATAACACACGTGAAACGACCCAGGAAAACCGAGTTAACAATAAAAACGATAACAAAATAACGCTGAAAACCGATAAAACCCTGAAAACTATACATTTCACACCTGAGCCTCAACTCTCGCGGCCCGATACCGGTCCGAGGCCCGGGGGTTGGGGACCGCTGCACTAAATAGTCTTTTCTGCCTGTTAATCACAACACCCACTGAGATAGAAATGTTTAAGCTCGTTCACCCTACTTTGTACAGTAAGACCAGTAAGACCACACCTCAAAAAACGCTGTAAACACCCCAAATCAAAACTCAAAGTTCCAAACATGAACTCAGTAATGAGTAGCTGCATCGTTATTGTTGATCACTTCAAAATTTTGTACAGCAAGCTTGATGCAAGTGTTTCCATGAGGTGAGTGGGAACATTTCTCCAAGTGGTGAAGACGGCTGCACGAATGGCATCTGGAACTGTTTTCCATTTTCGTAAACTTCCGGTGCCATCCATCCATCGAAGCTTCTCAATTGGATTTAGATCAGGGGAACACGCAGGAATGTCCTTAAAAAAATTCCAACTAACTGTCCTGGTGCGTCCCACCTTAGCAGTGATAGCCTGCTGCATGCAGTTCATGTTCAAAAGGAAAAGTTGCCTTTGCAATCAGAACGTCATGACACTGGATCCACATTTTTGCACAGACTCGGTCCTTTAAAGGCGTGTAGTCCTAAACAAGATAAACTGCATCTCTCCACAGACGACAACAATTCACAAACATCTTGATGGTTAACGGCTCATTTATCACCACTTCTTTATCGCCTCTCCATGCAGGACTTGCCACAGTAGTGCATCGTTAGGTGGAAGTTTTCGTTCACCTGTAACGTAATCTCAAATGTTTTGAGTCACTCGCATTTAACGTTGCCCAAAACAGTAAATATTCATTTATTAATGAATGCTCACACAAGTGCTGAAGCATCAAGTAGTATGATGGGTCGTCTTTATGTCCAGATTTCTTCAGGTCTATGTAATTTTACTGTGTTCCTCACGTGTGGCATTATACTCAGTCAACTGCTCAGAAAATAAAGGCAACTCTCGGTCATCACAGTACAGTCAGTTAACTGTCAAGGACACCAATCTCCCCAGTTAGAAATCAGAAACCATTTCATTTCACCTCCTTTGGTGTAAATGAAAGTGACACCAGGTGCACACGCCCATGAAGGGAATGCTTCTGCTGGTTCTGAACACAAACCATTGATCCCTCCTCACTGATTTTGCTCTAGTTTTGTTTTTTTGGCTAAACCTCTACAGTCCTGTGCTGAACGTGCAGCTCCTCCAAGGTAAGCCTATGGCAACCAGGTCTGCAGTTTCTCCAAGTTGTGAGAGTGTGGGGAGGATACCAGGAGACAGGGTGTTACTTAAGAAGAGCTGGACAGGACCGTAGAAGATCATCAGCTCAGCTGCAGGACCGGTATCTGCTCCTTTATGCGGGGAAGAACAGGAGCACTGCTACAGTATCACCTCCAACAGGATACTCGTGCATGTGAGATTAGATGGATTAGATAAAACTTGATTAATCCCTCGGGTGGGTTCCTCTGTAATGTAATGTTATGTTTGTGGTCAGAGTGTCAGAAACAGACTGCCTGCAGGTGGCCCAACAGCCTTTACTGGGACCTGTGCTCATAGATAAGTGTCCCCATGATGTAGTGTATCAATCTGATGGTGCCACAGACTGTGGCTATATACCTGCATTTAAAAGTAGTGGCAGTATCAAAGAATTAGGTGGTAGTAACTAGAGATGGACCGATCCGATATACAGTATCGGTATCCTGACCTAAATTACTGGATCTGATATCGGAGAGGAAAAAAAGTAATCCGATCCATTAAATATCACAAAAGCACCTCACAAAACTTGGCGTAACCCAGGCAACCCTGGGTTGATTTTTTGGTGACAAACACTTCTTAGAACGACGAACTACTCCTGAAACTTTGGAGGTTTTAGCTCTTTATACAATAAAGTTACAGGAGGATAAAATAATTATCAGGCACAATCTTCGTTTGGTAAAATAATCCCGTCTGATGCTGCGTGAGAACGATAAATATCATTTTCTGTTGTAGCCCTCAAACTGAATGGTAATGTAACGACACTCATTTTTCACGTCTTCACAAACAAAACAAACACTTTTTTCATACTTGTGTTAAGTTTGTATAGAAATCAGGTTAAAGTGATAGAAACAGCTTACACTGGCATTCATGTCGTGAGAAGCTGTGTTTGCATATATTTGCACTGCTTTCCACTCTGGATGTCTATTTATGTATAAAAGGGTCCTTTCTACAACCTGCTTTTTTCCAAGTTGTCGAATATAAACATTATTTTGTGCTGATATTGCAACTTTTTGAAACCTGTATGAAATTGCATTTTAAATTATTTTTTGAATATTACTTTAAACACTGAGATTTAAAGTTCTGCTAAGAGTTTAAATAACAACATCAGTTTTGCTGAACTTTTGGGTGCAGTGTATAGAATAGAATACAAGTGTATAGAATAGAATACAAGTGTATAGAATAGCTTTAGTGTTTTGTCTTTTAAAATTTTAGGATGAACTTATACGAAATCCAGCAAGATTCTAAACATCTTTTTATTGATTATAAACAGACTATATCAGATTCATATCGG